CAACCGACACCCCCATAGCCGCCACCCCCACACTCTTCACCCCCAAACCCTAATTTAGGAGAACGGGCTGTAGGAGGGGTGAGGCGCCGGTAGAAGCACGGGGGACAGTGGAGAGGGCAGGAGCAGCGAGGAACGGGCCGCCCACGGGCCTGGTAGAGCCGCCCGAACCGCGCGCAGGCGGCCCGAGCCGCGCGCGGGCCTGGCGCTTCCCGTACGGGCCGCGCGCGTGCCTGGCGCAGCCCGTACGGGCCGCGCGCGGGCCTGGCGCAGCCCGTACGGGCCGCGCGCAGGCCACGACGGGCGACGGGGGGCGACGCGCGGGTCCCCGTCGCCCGTCGCAGCGCCTCCCGGGGGCGACGTGCCGAGTGACGGGGCAGGAACCCGCCGCGCGCCTCGGGGCACACGGCGGGCAGAGAACCGCCGCGCGCCTCGGGGCGCACGGCGGGCAGAAAACCGCCGCGTGCCTCGGGGCGCACGGCGGGCTGAAAACCCTAGTTTCGACGCCGCGCGCCACGGGGCGCGCGGCGGACAGGGAGTAGCAGTAGCAGTAGCAGTAGCAGCGGAAGGCTTAGGTGGTGGGCCCACCCACAGGATCGACCCAGGAGGGTCGACCTGCTCTGATACCATGTCAGAATCACTAGGCAAGAATGAATGAAAGGAGAGGGGTTGAACTAGCAGGCAGTTGAGTACAAATAGCAAACCCTAGATTGGGCTGTACTCGCTATAGCATTCTGACAGGGGCGCCTTCAGAAGCTTGGGGGACGGACGAGGCGCGCGCACGGGTCTGCCGCAGGCGGGACGAGGCGCGCGCGGGCTGCCCGGGCCGCGCGCGGGCCTGGCGCAGCCCGTACGGGCCGCGCGCGGGCCTGGCGCAGCCCGTACGGGCCGCGCGCGAGCTGTACGGGCCGCGCGCAGGCCTGGCGCAGCCCGTACGGGCCGCGCGCGGGCCTGGCGCAGCCCGTACGGGCCGCGCGCGGGTCCCAGGGGCGCTTCGACGGGCGACGGGGACGTTTCGACGGGCGACGGGGGCGCTTCGACGGGCGACGGGGGGGGGGGGGCGCTTCGACGGGCGACGGGGGGCACTTCGACGGTGGGAAACCGCCGCGCGCCTCGGGGCGCACGGTAGGCAGAAAACCGCCGCACGCCCCGAGCGTACGGCAGGAAGGAGGCGTCGCGCGACCAGTAGAACAGCAGCGGAAGCATTTGGTGGTGGGCCCACCCACAGGATCGACCCAAGGGGGTCGACCTGCTCTGATAGCATGTCAAGATAAGCGGTAGTCTTAGGAGCCATAGCTAGGAGAGTCCTAGCTAGGCAAGAGAGTTTAGGCGAAAGAGGAGAGGGTTGCACTAGCAAGAATGGGGATACAAATAGCAAACCCTAGAAGGGTTGTACTCGCTACAGAGCACCCCACTACAGGCTAGAGCATAATATTCTGACAGCTAGGGGACGGGATAGGTGCGACGGGTGTTAGGAGACAGGACGGGCGTGACGAGGGCTAGGAGACGGGACGGGCGCAACGGGCGCTAGGGGACGGGACGGGCGCGATGGGCGCTATGGGACGGGACGGGCGCAACGGCCGCTAGGGGACGGGACGAGCGTGACAGGCGTTAGGGGACGGGACGGGCACGACGGTAGGGCGTGATAGGCTCAAGAGAGAGGAACGTGATCCAACAGGATCCTAACCTAGGTGATACCATGTTAGAAACTGAATGATGTATTATTGCAGTGAGTTGGGGTACATATGCCTAACCTTAACAACTGTACCCCACATGACAAGCCTCACTGTAGGCTACAACATTTGACATAAAAGTGGGTTCTTGGACGAGTCTAGATTTGACAAAACTTTGGCCCCAAGATCTGTAAACCAATCAGACAGACCCTTTTTCATCTACAGCAAAAGACTTGGCCTACTTGAGACTCCGTTTTAATCCACTAGTTTGTTAATTGAAGTTGGGTTTCCTGCAAGCATAAACTGATTACAGCTCAAGTTGTGCATCATAAAAGATGATAATTCGTCACACTACAGTGTACCCCCGATTTCGTATACATTGTAGGGTGCTTCTCGCGACATGTCCGCAGAATTTGAGAACTAATCAATGAGCGCCACATCAATGGACACATGAGAACGTTTTGAATCAACCCTTGCTCTGCGGCAAACCCTGGATGTGAAACGCGGGAAAAGCGAGTGAGATCAGCCTTCCTGGAGATGCGCAGCGTGAACGCGGCTCGTAAAATCTTCCAATTCCGTGAACCAGACACCATGCATGGCGCGCATGTCATCACGCTTGGGAGTGGTTGGCGGAATCGACGTGATGGAATGCACGCAACAAACGGCCAACAGCAAAATCGACGGCACGGGACGAGAGGCGTTTGTTCGCCTCGTGCAGTCAGCGATGCTTTTTGGTTGGGTCTTGGCGGCTGACTCGCGCGTGCTCAGCTGCACATCACCCCACCTTCTGTAAGCATCCCTCCCCTCCCCACAACAGCTCGCATCAACATCTCTTCTCCCATGATCCTTCCCAGAACACAAAACACCTCTCACCATTCCTCAACAGGACAATTTATCTTCTGCAAGCAATTCAAGCAATTCGCTCTCCAAGTTCAAAGTTGACAGAGTACCAAAATAATTGCGCTACGCCTTCCTGGTTGCTAGAGTTTCCTTACCAGATTTACAATGACGGTAGTTAACAGAGTGGTGAAGCCTCCTGGTGGCGACTCCACCGCCGATGTGCTTAACTGGGCCGATGGAGCTGACGCCGGCGTTCCGGATGTGCTTGGTAGCGGAAAGAAGTGCATCAAGCGCCTTAGCCAGGTAAGCCTTGCTCCATGAAGCTTCTCGCGCTGCGCCTTCTGTCCTCATCTGCCTTGTCGGTTGGCTCCTGACGTGCACTGAGCGTTCCAGATCGTGAGCGTTCCAGCCCCATTTGGCTACGGGATATCTATTTTTCTCACCCTTCTGTTTTTCTTCCCCGGTTCCCCTTCTATTCCTAAGTGCAGAAGAACTTCGAGAGCCAAGTGGTCCTCGCCCACGTCGAGGCAGACACAAAGCAGGCAGAGTACGACACTTTCCCCTTTCTCGTTCATTCATCCGCTTATCCCCAGATTTCAGCTTCATTCCATCTGCATCCATCTTGCTGTTCTCTCCGCTCCTCAACGCTCTGATCCTGCTGTGTTCCCGTCCGCTGTTTCGCCTTGCAGGACTCCCGAGGTTGCGCCCGCCTCCGACAACATCTTCACGCCGTCCGATCAGACCGACCGCCCCAGCGTGCGCCTCCACCAGGTCCGCACGCGGCATACCGTGGTTACAGTAACTGCAATCTGTCAAGTGGTGATGAAGATGATTCTGCCGAGAGTCCAACAAAGGACTTTCCTTCCTGCCCATTTCACGTGCACGTTGCGTTCACTTATCAAATATTTCTCTCGTAAATTCCACATTCCCGTGTCGCTTGTTCTTCAATATTCTCCCCCTTTTTTCTCCACCGCGTCACCCCCATCGCCTCGGGGTCCCGTGCAGCCGGCCGGCGGCAAGAGCCAGATTCTGTTCGGCGACGAGGACTACCTGCCGACCAAGGCGCTGTGCCCGCAGAAGCTGACGGACCTCATGGGCACGCTCAGCTGCGAGCCCGACAGCGAGGAGAAGCGCCGGCCGCTGTGCCAGGCGAAGCTCAAGGACCTGTACGGCTCTCTGTCGCTGTACGGGGAGGAGGTTGTGGAGGAGGTTCGCCCGTCCATCACCGTGCACCAGGTGAGCTCCCATTCCTTGCTTGAAAACTAATTTCCAAGACCTCTTCTCCCGTTCTTCTGCTTCTAAGAATATTGGCTAAGAAACATCCATGTTGTACGTTAGGCATGCGCAGCGCACTGATTCTTGGTTTGTTTTCGTGGCCGCAGCTTCCCGGTGGTGCGAGCTCTATTATCTTCGGCGGAGACACTCCCCCCAGCCCGCCGAAACGTCGACCGTCCGATCGCAAGATCATCGATTTGATAGGCCGCGGGACGATGGAGCCGACGGACGCGGGGAAGCAGCAGCTTAGCGCGGCAAAGCGTCGCGAGCTGCAGGGAGAGGATATTTTCGCGGACGGAAAGCTCAACATCCGCAGCTGCATCGGCATCCACCAACCGCCTGGTGGAGGGAGCTCGTTGTCACTCGTTTGAGGGTGGCTGGAAACATGTTCTCAAACAGGGTTTTTATCGTTACAACCGCTATACATAGTTACTTTGGTTCTGTGAACGTTGCTGGCGCTAAGCTTTACTTTTCTGTTATATTGAAGATGCCATCTTTAGTATCTTTAGCTATTTCATTATCTGTGTGTTGAAAACTTCTTGGGTGAATTAGAGGTCTGACATTTCGCACCATGAACACTATCCATGTCGATTTCCCTAAACAAAACAATGATTTTCCGAACTCCCAGAGATCCTCCCAGCGTTAGCACGGCCTGCTGCTAAAAACAAACATCGTGAGTTCATGCGTGAAGTCAGCAATCCACCGCGGTTTTAGGAGTCGTGCGTGAACCGCGCCGTCTGCAGTTACTAGTCAAAGCTCACGTACGCTATCATGGCCGCGGCAGGAGAAATGTATTGGTAGAAACGTACATCCCTGTGATAGCTTGGCACTGGCGCCACGTATCCCGACGCGCGAGGTAGGTCGTGTCAAGTATTCATGCAAACATGATAGTTCGCGGTTCATCGCAGAACCTCTCACATTGTTATGCACATTGTGGGTGACTGCCGTAGGTGGTTTAAGAATAAATATACGCGGTGTTAAAATATATATAACGCCGAAGTTGTTATTCCAGGATTCCTATCATACGTCTAAAATACCGAAGTGTCCTCGTTGATCAACCCCTCTTCTCCCCCTCGCTCATTAAGTATAGCGGACCATAACGCCATTACCTTTACACCCGATCTAGTAAAGACTATGGTTAGCATAGTAGACGCAGGGTTGTTTGAAAAGTTACAGTAATCTTAATGACAACGTAACAAAACTTATGATAAACATTTACAGCTTAGCAAGAAGGGCAGACACCTTGGACTTGGTGGCGTCGAAGTACTTCTGAGCAGCCTCCTGGTTCTTCACGCGGGCGGCATAGTCCAACTGCAAGACAAAGAAGTGCAACAGTTAGTACATAGGCGCATATCGATTTTTGGGAATGGCATGGAAAAAAACGTCCAAGTGATTCGATGCGACATCAACTTACCGACTCCAGGGTGGTGATCAGCTCCTTGAGCTCAGCGTTCAGAGCCTTCTTCTCGGCCTTGGCCTTGGAGGCGATGACGGTGGCAAGATCGTATCTCAAGTAGCCGAGCTCGGAGCGCAGCTCGTTGCGGACATAGGGCCAGGCCTTCTTGGTGATGTAGCCCTGAACCTCGTCGAACACACCGACGACATCCTTGGCGCGGGCAAGAGCCTCCTCGGGGGTCTTGATCTGGATGAAGAACCGCTCGCTCAGGGGGGCGTCGAAGTCACGGGCCTGGTCAGAGTTCTCAGTGCCGGCTGCAGGTAAAACAGTGAAGGAGTGCGAAGGAAGACGTTCAGGCGAAACGGTAAATATGGACTGAGGGGCAGTACATCGGCGATACCCGCATGCAATCAAGAGAAGTATATTTGTCGGATGAATTCTGCTGAGCATCGAATAAACTTACGAAGGCCGCCAGCCGGAGGAGGGGGGCCCTCGATCTTCACGCCAGTAACGGCCTGAGCGCTGCCGGAAAGGGAGACGGCAACGGTGGTGGCAATGAGGGCAAGAGCCGAGCGCCTGCTCTGCTCTTCCTCAGCCGAGGCACTGACGGCGAGCGAAGCCTTCTCAGCGCGGGCGAAGGACACGGTGTTGTTGAACACGCGGGAAGCCTTCTGGGCCGGGTTGCCGAGCTCCACGGGAGCAGCCAAGTTCATGGCAGCGACGGAGGTGGTGGCAGCCATGGCGGATACTTCGGTTGCTGGTGGAATTCGGCAAACAGGGAAGAGTGCCTGTTGTGTGGGAGCGTCGGCAAATTGGCTTACTCCTCGAGATTCCTTGGTAACGTAAATCCTTTGGATGACTATCCACGCTGTCAGGCTGCCTTGAGCATGAGAAGGTGGGGAGAGCTGGGGAGGATTTCGCGCAGTCCACGTGGCACTTCGCTTATCCCGAAGAGATCGAGTGAGGTGTTATTGTCAAATCGCGACATCAGATTGGACGCATCACTCGCGAAAGGCACGAATTCAGGGCTTCCGATCGTTGCGTTGCCGAAAATCTAGAAGATTGTTGGCAACAGTGCATTTGTAGTTACTAGCTTATGAACAAAACGAAACATCTCAACAATAGAGTGGAATAATGAAAACACGCATGCGACTCCATAAGATGACGTGAGTTCCGTTCATGCATGCGCAATCTGAAAACCAAGGTCTGGAACAGCCAACGTTTGACGTGAATGGTTTTTGGTGAAATCCAGGTGTTCTATCAAGGCGGATAGAGTTTTAAGATATTTTTGTTTAATGCAGTGATTTAGTACCGAGTTTAGGTTTTTATGTCTCAGCCTTGAAATAAGTTAAACCCTGAAGCGGATTAGAAACACAGCTTTCCCACGATTGGCTTTGTCGAAGGCTAGGGTTGTCAGAATGTGATGTTTGTCTAGCCTGCAGTGGGGTACTTTATAGCGAGTACAGCCCGAATTAGGGTTTGCTATATGTACTCAACTGCCTGCTAGTGAAAACCCTCTTTCCTGTTCCTCGTTTCTGCCTGCTGTTTTTACATGCTATCAGAGCGGTTACGCTCCTGGCCTGTGGGCCCACCGTTAGCTTCCGCTACTGTCCTGTCTGTCGCACGCCCCGTGGCGCGCATCATTTTTTCTTCCCGCCACGCGTCCGGGGCGCATGGCGGTTTTCTGCCCGCCGTGCGCCCCGAGGCGCGCGGCGGTTCCCTGCCCCGCACGTCCCCCCCGTCGACCGTCGCGTCGCCCCTGGGGACCCGCGCGCGCTCCCTGCGATCCCGTCGCGTCGCCCTGGGGACCCCCGCGCGCCCCCTCCTAGCCTCGTCGCGACGCCCTGGGGAGCCGCGCGCGGCCCCCGCTGCCCCGTCGCGGCGCCCTGGGGAGCCGCGCGCGGCCCCCCGCTGCCCCGTCGCGGCGCCCTGGGGAGCCGCGCGCGGCCCCCCGCTGCCCCGTCGCGGCGCCCTGGGGAGCTGCGCGCCATCCCCTGAGCTGCTGTCCGCGCACCGCCCCCCAGCTGCTGCCTGTGTTAGGGTTTGGGGGTGGCAAGTGTGGGGGCGACGGGTGTGTGTGCTGTCAGAAACAGCAGGCAGAAACGATAGAACAGAAAAGAGGGCTTTGGACTAGCAGCAGCAAAAAACATATAGGAAACCCTAAATTGGGCTGTACTCGCTATAGAGTACCCCACTGCAGGCTAGACAAATATCACATTCTGACACACCCCCATAGTCAAAGTGGGGTATAATCAGCACAGCAAGCAGTCATAGAGCAGGTTTACAAGTACAAGCAAAGCTAGAGGCAGTCACAGAGGGCAAGTGAGGAGGAGGAGGGACTGTGAGAGGAGTGGAGATAGGAGGCGACGGGTGAAGCCGCAGTCACACGGGCAACAGGAGCGGTGCGCACAGTGGCTACCAAGGCCAGCAGCCCGGACTACAGGAGTAACAGGCTCTGCGGCTGCGACGAGCGGCAGGAGCAACGGACCCACGGGCGACTGGCGCAGCAGGCTCTCTGGGCTACCAGGCGCAGAGCCCCGGAGTACAGGCGCTGTGAACGACAAAATGGCTGCCTCCACTCAACCTCCCCCAGCTGTCCCACACCCCTTTCACACACCCCGTGCTGAACCCCTAGCACTGCTCACACGCCACCCCCCTAGTACCACTCCGACGGCTCCCACACATCCACCCCCCTCAGCGGCCGGTGCAGCAGTGGGAGACGGAGGAGGAGGAGGAACAGGGGACGGCGCACACACCCCCAGACTCGCCACCCCCAAGCCCTAACACAGGCAGCACGGGGCGGCGCACCGGGAGCACGGGTCCCCAGGGCGGCGCGACGGGAGCGCAGGGGCCGCGCGCGGGTCCCTAGGGCGGCGCGACGGGATGGCAGGGTGGCGCGACGGGATGGCAGAAAACCGCCATGCGCCCCGAACGCATGGCGGGAAGAAAAAAACTTTGCGCGCCACGGGGCGCGCGACACACAAGACAGCAGCGGAAGCATCGGGTGGGCCCACCCACAGGATCGACCAGGGAGGGTCGACCTGCTCTGATAGCATGTTAGAAACAGCAGGCAGAAACGATAGAACAGAAAAGAGGGCTTTGGACTAGCAGCAGAAAAGAGGTTTTTCATTAGCAGGCAGTTGAGTACATATAGGAAACCCTAAATTGGGCTGTACTCGCTATAGAGTACCCCACTGCAGGCTAGACAAATATCACATTCTGACAAATATCACATCCCCGTCTCCTCCTCCTCCTCCTCCGTCTCCCACTGCTGCAGCTACCGCTGAGGGGGGTGGATGTGTTGGAGCCGTCGGAGTGGTACGAGGGGGGTGGCGTGTGAGCAGTGCTAGAGGTACAGCAGGGGGTGTGTGAAAGGGGTGTGGGACAGTTGGGGGAGGTTGACCGGAGGTAGCCGTTGTGACGTCAGCAGCGCCAGTAGTCCGGGGGTTGAGTACTCCGGTAGCCCAGCGAGCCTGCTGCGCCAGCCGCCCGTGGGTCCGTTGCTCCTGCAGCTTAGTGCGGAGCCAGTTACTCCTGTAGTCCGGAGGTTGAGTGCTCCGGTAGCCACCGTGCGCGCCGTTCCTGTTGCCCGTGTGTCTGCGGCTTCGCCCGATGCCTCCTATCTCCACTCCTCTCACAGTCCCTCCTCCTCCTCACTTGCCCTCTATGACTGCCTCTAGCTTTGCTTATCATTGTGAACTATTGCTCTGCCTGCTTGTTGTGCTGATTATACCCCACTTTGACTATGGGGGTGTGTCAGAATGTGATGTTTGTCTAGCCTGCAGTGGGGTACTCTATAGCGAGTACAGCCCAAATTAGGGTTTGCTATATGTACTCAACTGCCTGCTAATGAAAAACCTCTTTCCTGTTTCTCGTTTCTGCCTGCTGTTTTGACAAGGGTCTCTCTTAGCGGCGCCGTCGGGCTAGGGTCTCTCTTTCCTACTAGGAATTTGGCAGAAAAAGACTCCAGGCTCTCCATCCTCTTCATGAGGTGCTTGACGACTTCCTGCACAAACAGGGATGTGACAGCATTCCAGGTCTCCTTTTGAGAAGGAGGGGGAGGAGGAAGGAGAGCGAGAGGGGAGACCGAGGGTCCGAAGACCAGAGACAGGAGGAGGAGGGGGCGACTGTAGCTGCTCCTGCTTCGGCTGCGACCGCTGCACCTGCTGCTGCTGCTCCTCCAACTGCGGCTGCAACTGTTGCTCCTGCTGCTGCGGCTGCTGCTGCTGCTCCTGCCGCCGCCGTCGGCGAGTGTGACCAGCCAGGAGCCGTCCCTCCCCTTTCTCTGACTGCTGCTCGTGCGCCAGTGGGGGGGGAGGGGAAGGGTGAGGGGGTGGCGAGAGAGATTCTCCCAAGCCAGCAGCCGCCCCTCCTCTCTCTCTCACTGCCGCGCGTGCCGATGTGGGGGGAAGGAAAGAGGGGGCGGCGGAAGTAAGCCAAGCATCTGCAGCTGCCGCCCGCTGCTATCGTGGCACCTCCTGCTGACGCCCCCGTCGCCACCTCCTCCTGCTGCTGTTGCCTGCTGCTGTTGAGCGGCAGGTGCTGCCGTTGAGCCCTGCTGTGCCGCCGCATGTTGCCGCCGCACGCACCCGCTCTCCAGGCGACCTGCCGCCACATGCACCCACTACTGTTGTTTTTGACTTGGCTGAGGGTTTGCTACAGCTGTATTTGCCACTATTGCACTGGCTGCCACTGCTTTTGCCTGTTGCTGCTTCTTCTGCTGCTTTACTTTGCGTGGTGTACCCCTGCAGGTGGTGTTCTGCACATGGCTATCCTTGCGTGCAGTTAGGGGGTGTGTCAGAATATATTATATATATATTTTCTGTATAACTGCATATAGTTCTAGCTATAGTGTAGTTATATGGTTTCCTGCTTGTGGCGCGCCTTTTCTTGCTTGTTTCTTGTATAACTTGGGCCTTTGGCCCTTTAGTGAAGCCCTTTTTTGCTTGGTCAAACCTCTCGACATTCCCTTGCCTAGCTGAAACCCTAGGCTCCTTGTTCTAAGCTATGAAGCTATTTTAACAATAATTCCCTTTATGGGGTTTTCGTGAAGATTGAAGGTGTCGGTGACGGGATTTTCTTCCGCATCCATGCCCTCGACTGTAACCATCCGCTTGGTAGTTGGGTCGTGCTTCTCCAGGAACTCGGTCAGCAGCTTGCTGTCCTCAACGTAGTTCACGCCATGTTCGATGCAGCGAGCACGCAGTTTTCCGCACGTGTTGTTCACCATGAAGGTGAGACGGGTGATGTATGCCTGCACATTAGCAAACATAGTGAATTAGTATTCTTATGGCGTGCACGTGCACAACGAGGTATAAGAGTCTTATCGCTGAAGTTTTACTTCTTCGATTTTTTCCTGGCAGATGTGTTGAGAGAGCTGAACAATTTAAATTTGAAGGTGGCTTTTGCCTACGCCGCCTTGTCGTGCTCCCACAAAACGACGATAGTTGTGGGGAGCACTGCCACTAACCGCTAGATTGCCTTGCCTCGCGACAGCCAATGGATGCCCTTAATCCCGTGCATCTCCAATGTTGTCACGTGAACGATTTTTTGCAGCTCCATGAGCCGCACGTGCACGACGATATTGCGTCCCATGTTGTCGGCTACGCTCCGAACGACTTGGTGAACGATGCCAAGATCAGGCACGGCTTTTGCCGCGTCTTTAGCTGTAAGTGCTTCCTTGAAATGAAATAACTCTAAAGTGTGTGAGTCGTGTTCACAGAGTTACTCGCCAACCACAAAAATGCAGGTAAAGCACAATCTAACACATATTTGTGTGTGATCCACTGACAGGTCACCAAGTGTGGCACACGCAAACGGAGTTGTGTGCAACCGAACGATTCGATGCATTGACGCGGGGTCAACCTGACATACGACGCAACGTGCCGAACAAGAATTTCGGCACGGAGCGATCGACACCCCCCACGATCGCCGACCCAATGGATATCGACAAGGTCAATGCGAAGCCGCGGCCGGCAAAATCTGAGACGTGCGAATCTTGCGGCGCAGTCGGGCATCGGATCATGTCGTATTGGAAAATGAAAAAGGCACGAGCGGAGCTGCAGGGTAAGAACGGTGCAACACCCTCAAAGCAAAAAAAAAAAAAAAAAAAAAAAACACAAAAAAACAAAAAAACACAAAAAAACAAAAAAAAACAA